GAAATCCTTTGTTCCTGGGTAGGAAGAATCAATATAGTGAAAATGGCCATACTTCCAAAACTGCTATATAGATTTAATGCAATGCTGATTGAAATTCCAACAATATACTTCACAGAGCTAGAGAAAACAATCCAAAACTTCTTTTGGAACCAGAAGAGACCTAGAATAGCAAAAGCAATTTTGGGCAACAGAGAAATGGCTGGGGGTATCACAATACCCAACTTGAAACTTTACTACAAAACTACTGTGATAAAAACAGCATGGTACTGGCAAAGAAACAGACTCGAGGATCAGTGGAATAGATTAGAAGATGCAGAAACAACTCCAGACCTCATCTTTGACAAAGGAGCCAACCACCCTCATTGGAGGAAAGATAGCCTATTTAAAAAATGGAGTTGGCAAAACTGAATTTCAACCTGTCAGAGATTAAAACTAGACCGATATCTATCACCATGCATGAAACTAAGATCTAAGTGGATTAAAGATCTAAATATTAAGACAGAAACATTAAACTTGCTGGAAGAGAAGTTAGGTAGAACTCTTAAAGACATTGGCATAGGAAAAGACTTTATGAACAAAAAACCTCAGCAGCACGGGAACTAGCACAAAGAATCAACAACTGTTGTTTCGTCTTATTAAAAAGCTACGGCACTGCAAGGGAAACCACCAACAGAGCTAAGAGACAATCTACAATGTGGGAAAAAATTTTAGCAGTTGTTCTTTAGACAAAGGACTACTATCTAGAATATATAAAGAACTGAAAAAAATCAGACCCCCAAATTCAAAGACCCAATTCAAAAATGGGCATGTGATGTGAACAGACATTTCTCAGACAAAGAAGTAAAAGCAGCAAATAAACACATGAAAAAATGTTCAACATCACTGGTCATTCGAGAGATGCAGATGAAAACAACACTGAGATTCCACCTCGCCCCAGAAAAAGTGGCTGCTATCAAGAAATCAAACAATAACAAATGCTGAGGGGGGGCTGGGGGGAGAAAAGAACTCTTCTCCATTGTTAGTGAGAGTGCAGACTGGTGCAACCACTGTGGAAATCTGTATGGAGATACCTCAAAGAACTAGGGCTAGAGGTCCCATTTGACCCAGCTATTCCCCTGGTGGGTATCTTCCCAAAAGAATTAAAAGAATCCTACCACACCGATATATGTGCACCCATGTTTATAGTGGCACAGTTTGTAATAGCTAAAGCTTGGAAGCAGCCCAAGTGCCCATCAGCTGGAGGCTGGATAAAGAAGACTTTTTTTTTTTTTTTTTAATAAAATGAAGTACTACTCAGCCATAAACAATGAGAAACTAGAGTCATTTATAGCTAAATGGATGCATATTGAGGCCATACTCTTAAGTGAAATAAATAGGACACACATGTGTAAATACCAAATAGTTTCTCTAGTGTGAGAAACTGAGAATGTAAATAAGGACTAAAAGGATTAATAACTAATAATTGATACTTTGTAATAGAAAAAGGCCCAAAGGGGTAGGGGTGGTGGGAGGAGATGGGGAAAGGAAAGAATGGAAAGGAAAAATTATGAGAAAAGAAAAAAAAATGGAAATGAAGTACGTAAATAGGGAAGGGTGGAGGGGTGAAGGGTGCACAGGTAATGGGGAAAAAATAAAAACCAAGATGTATCATGTACAGGTACAAGAACCCAGTGATAGATATAAATGTGTTATATACCTAAAATGTACCAATAAAAGAATTTAAGCAAAAAAATATGAAAAAATGTGAAAAATGGGAACGAAGTCTTGGTAAATATGTAGTGGCATTGGGGCTGAAGGGAGGGCAGGGGAATTTGGAGAAGAATAAGAACCAAGATAGAGCGTTAAAGGTGCAAATTTCCAATGATGAATATCATTATATTGTATACCTAAAATGTACCAGTAAAATTAATAGTATAAAAAAATAAAATTTTTTACAAAAGCATTTTTAAAATGTCTTTAGGGTGCATACATGCTAGTTCGTTCATATGGTTTTCCTTTTAAAGATTAATACTATCTAGTTATATGCATAAACTACATTTTTTTCTTCATTCATCTGTTAGTGTTCACTTGGGCTATTTCTGCCTCTTCTGGCTTTTGTAAATAAGGGTGTTTTGAATATTATGATAGTAGAATCAGTTGTAGTCCCTGCTTTGGATTCTTTGAATACATGACTAGGAAAATATTATGTACTAAACCCACTGTTTCTCTCTCTATGATGCAAGAAGATGTAATGCCTATGTGATGAATTGACGTGAGGTGAATGATACAGGCATTGTGATACAATGTTAGGATCAATGAATGTTATTTGAATACAAGCACAGAAATCCCACAGAAGCCTACCTGAAAATCATGGTTGGAGTAAGGGACTTAGGAGTAGGTCTTGTGCACACTTGAGAGCAGATGATCAGTATTCCTGCCTGTTAGGAGAGCGATGGTGCTAGATCTCTTCAGGTCACTTAGGAGAGTAGTTTAAAACTTAGGAATTGTATATTTCTGAAATGTTCCTTTTAATATTTTCAGACAATAGATAACTGAGAAATTGAACCTAAGAAAGCAAAGCCATGGTTAAGAAGAATTACTGAATATGTGCAATAATTATCAGAAACTAATTAGGTCATGCATTCATCACCTCACATTATATGGATTCTTTGCTTTATTCTCAACTTCCAAATTTAAGTTCAAATTATTCCTCATTGTTACCAGCAATTATTTTCCTTTCCTTTTTATTTGATAATAGTCATAGATCAGATGTAAAATGACATGTCATTGTTTTCATTTATGTTTCCCTAGTGATAGTGAGATTTAGTACCATGTTGTAGTGTCTTTTTACTGCACAAACTTTACAACTTCCCCCAAGGCAGGCCTACATATTCTAGTTGCAATCCAAACAAGGAAGATACAGAAAATACTTTGCCAGTGGGAAAAATAAAACATTTAGTTTTTCTGCAGTTTTAACTTTTAATTCTTCATTGAAGGTAAAACATTGGAAACTGATCAACAGTAACCTTTTTAATTCTCTGTGTTCATGAGAGTTGTGTTAGCACATTGTGTCAAATAATGTATGAATAAGATGTGGCTTCATCATTACAATCATAAACAGCAGTGGGAAAACATTTAAGTTTTTTAGTTTAAAAATGATCAAAATTGGTTCAATTGATTTCTTCAAATAATTTAATAAGAACTAATAGTGTCTATTAGTATATAGTAATTTTCTTAAAAATTCGTTTTCATATAAAATAAGTGAACTCTTTCAATTCTCTGTTCACAAGCAGAATATTGCTTTAAAGTAACTCCTCCCTGAGTAATTACTTATTCATTAGACAGACAAGGCTATGTCTTGCAGTTTGAACTGGTCTCATTAGGTGACAGAAGAGATAGACTCTTCTAGGTGGAAGATTATTGGAAAATGAATTCCAAACACCAGTGTATGGACCTGAACGATGGTCACTTCATTCCTGTGCTGGGCTTTGGGACAGCCACACCTGTAGAGGTAACAGTGAGGGTGGAAGCTGAAGGTGCGAAAGGCATTAGATCCATGATGGGTGGGAGGCCCCTGGCTCCACCAGTCACCTAGGCATTCTGCACATTCACTGGCTTCTCGGTTTCACCAACTGGAAAGACTGCATGCAGGAGTGGTAGGATGAGCTCTGTGTCCAGCTCTGGCTGTGTGGTCTGCTACTAGTTGTTCTGGGCACTGGTTCTCCCCTCTGCTTAGTCTGTTTAGCAGCTAACTAGAGATTGAACTCAAGTGTTCAAGATCACTGTCTCGGGGCTAATGACAATGATCAGGTCTTCATACATTCGTGGCTTTTGGTATTTCTTCTTTGAAAAGTGTCTATTTAAATTAGTTGCCCATTTTATTTGAATTCTCTTTTTTGTTGATAACCTTTCTGAATTTCTTATATATTTCGCATACTCCTCCCTTGTGACATGAGTAGTTGGCAAATTTTTCTCCTGTTTTATAGATAATTGTTCACTGTGTTTATTGTTTCCTTTGCTATGTAGAAACTTTCTAATCTCATATAATCTATTTGTCTTTTTGTTGTGATTTCTTGTGCTCTTGAGGACACATAAAACAACAAACATTTCCTTTGTCTATATTGTAAAGTGATTCCTTTTGGTTTTGTTCTAATAATTTTGTAAATTAAAGTCTTACGTTAAGATCTTTGACCAATTTTCATGAGATAATTGTACAGGGTGAGAGATCACCTTTCAATCTTCCAAGCATCATTTGTTGAAGAATCTGTCCTTTCTACAATGAATTTTTTATTAAGAACCAGTTGGTTGTAGATGATTGGTTTCATTTCTGACATGTCAATTCAATTGCATTGATCCATGTGTTAGTTTTCTTGCTGCTGAGACAAAATATTCCACACCCAGAGCTTAAAGAGGTAGAGGTTTATTTCACCTCAGAATTTGTAGAGGTTTTACTCAATAGTCAGCTGGTTCCAAGACAGAAATACAAGTACCACATATTTACTGTCCTTTTGGAGGCCAAAACAATTGCTTCTGAATGTAGTATAGTGATGACTGGTGGGTGTGAAGGTTGATGAAGGAGGTGAGGTAGCAGTACTGAAACACAATTGGAGAGAAGTAACATGTTCTGATGTCTCTAAAACATCGAGAGGAGAATGGTTAACAATAACTTATCACATATGTGATTAGACCTGGAAGGGAAGAAACTAAAGGATCTGTGCATAAAGAAATGATAAGAAGAGGAAAATGCTGATTACCACGACAGGACTTGTGCACAATTTGTATGCAGTACAGAAATGTGAACCACTGAATCTCCTTCCTTCATGTCCATCAGAGAAGAACTTTAAAACATCCTAGTTGTACAGAATATAAATTTGGTGATGTTGAAAATTTCCCACTTAGAAATCCTTTTTTTGTCCTTATTGGTTTTCTTACAATAGAATGAAATGCTCTTGAAACAAAGAAAAATAAAACAACTTGTGTTTCCTTGATCGGTGGTTGATTGAAATGGAAGTGGTTTCTCTGTTTATTTCTGTAATTAGAAAATATTTTTCTTTTTTCAAGAAGGCAGTAACTAGAAAAATACTTATAAAAGTGTCTGCGTAACATGGGCCAAGTCCAATTTCCTGCGTATTACTTTTAATTCCAGGAATTGTAATGGAAAGGTATATACAACACAGTGCTAGGGTAAAATGAGAACTTGATAAAAGTCTGTGTAAATTACTGGGCCTTTTAATGTAAAGTGGTCTGAAAGCACAATAGACGGATAAGCCTGTGAAATAAAGTGAAGAAGACAGTTGACCTGATTGGAATGAATTTTCATTCCAACACTGTCTTCATCTTTTCAAGACAGATAAGAATGCTGTTTACCAGGAAAGGTATTTTGAGGCTGAAACCTGAAAGTTTCTCATTTGTCTCTAGACTGAGTGCTGAGGGAATTTAGTATGTCCTGTGTGGCATCACTGGAAGGAGACTCCTACAAGAGTGTGCCATATTCCTTCTGTACTTCATCCCATACACCTTCTCCACGTCAACTTTACTTTGTTATCTCACTATAGAAATAATAAACATTACTATACTTATATTCTGAATCCTGTCAGACCCTCCAGCGAATTGCTGACCCTGGAGCATAGAAGATAACCACCATGGCAATGATAAACCAGCAACAGGCTGGGTGGGACCCAAGAGTTTCCTGGAATGCCCAATGCTTGTTACTGAGTAGGAAAGGTCAAAACAGCCTCAGCTAGGTTACTCACCTGAAATGCAGAGCTAACCTAAGATACGGAAAATGTTCATTCTTGTGAAAGTCACGCTTGTCCTGAACTCACTAAATCATGTGGATCTCTCAACACTACCTTTGAACACCTTCCTAGGTTCCCAAGAGCAAGGCTGGAGAGGCCACCAAATTAGCCATAGATGCTGGGTTCTGCCATATTGATTGTGCTTATTTGTATCAAAATGAAGAGGAGGTGGGACAGGCCATTTGGAGCAAGATTGCAGATGGCACTGTGAAGAGAGAAGACATCGTCTACACTTCAAAGGTAACATGCACACTGTGTGCAGGTGTGCATGGTAATTGTACATATGTTATACAGGCATGCAAATTATGAAGTGGACATATGGAGATGTCATTGAAGTAATTAGAATAATAGTTATTGATAAATTGTGCCCACTTGTCCATCTTATATCCCCATTTACTCATATGCGGCATTCAGTGTTGGACACAGAGTAGATGATCTTTTCCTTTTCTGAGTCTCAGCTCAAAGCAGTGTAGTGTAGCATGGACTGTGAAATCAACAGATCTATGATAAAATGATTATTTTCTTATCTCCTCAAGGTCTTCGTAAACTCACTGTTCTAAATATCAATTGTCACTTTTATCAAAAAGAGAGAACTAATGGGAAATATTTGGTGTTAAACAATGCATGGCTAAAATATTTTGAGTCCAACACAATGTTTCTCTTTAGTTATGTAAGTCACAAGGACACTAATCTACCTCATTTGGTTGAATGTATCAGGGTGCAACACTGAGCTGTTTTATAAACTCTGTGAATCATAATTCTGCTAATGGACATTATTATTACCTGGTAAAATTTTAACTCTTAGGGAATTTTCTTCCATTGTTTACTACATTTTTTAATAATAACTAAACATCTGGTGGATTGATTAGCTCAAAAGAAATTCAGATTGGAAGGAAGTATTTTTGTCTTATGTTCATTAGTTTCTAATCAGAAGAAAAAATATTTCGTTGTTAAGTGAAGGAAACCTACAAATTATGATGATGTGTCAATCATTCATGTCTACCATTCCTTAACTTTTGCAGCTTGGCTTCAATTTCTGTAGACCAGAGCTAGTCCAACTTTGCTTGAAAATATCATTAAAAAAACTTCAAATGGACTATGTGGATCTCTATATGGTTGATTTCCCAGTGGCTCTGAAGGTGGGCAGTTCATGCATTGAAACCTCCATTATTTTTGCTATCAACATGACCATAGATGATTGGACATATAATTAGACATAAAATTATGTAAATGTAATTTATTTAATTTATAAAAACTACTCAAGTGAATTCATGCCAAGTTTTGATTGGATTATGGAAATGAGGAAGCTTTACAATGTCTTGACCTGGTGAATCAGCACAGTCTTCAGAAATGTCTCTCGCTATGAGTTCCTTCCTTTCTTTATATTCTATGCTTGCACGGTTTTGTCCCAGCCATTGCCATACAGGCAACTATGTCCTTAAGGGGTGCCAAAGCTCATGGCCATTAATGTTTTATGGCTTCTCTGTATTTCCTAGCATCAACAATAATTTTGAAAATAACTTTTTGTGACTGGCTTTTGTGCACATGTTTGATTTTGGTCCATTCATGTGGACTGAGAAAGGAGCGCTGATTGAACACTGACTGTTTAACCTGTGTCAAGATGGAAATTCATTGTTTCTAGATTTCAGGGGCATTAATTACTGACTCTCTTAGTGAAAGAGAGCCGTTTCTCCAGGGGATACTACAAGCATATGAAACCTCTACTGTGACCTCTCATGCAAACATGGGACAATATTACCCATTAACTATAAAATAGACATAAAAATACAAACATCCTGTCACCAAAGCATTCTTTAGAACTCTATAGGCAAAACATTTTTCAAATTTAAGCAAGCTTTTTTATAGTTTTTTATTTTTTTGTTACCGGGGATCAAAATCGGGTCCTTGCACTTGTGCAGCAGGTGGCGAAACCACTGAGCTAAATCCCTGGCCCCAGTGGTGGTATTTTATGGTGGGCTAGTTCTCAGCTCTAGATTTAACTATAAAAATTGCTATGGGCACAGAAATGAATTTGGTGAGATCCTTTAATGATTTCTTCTGTTCCAGCCAGGGGAGGAGATTTTTCCCATGGATGAGGATGGAAAATTAGTATTTGACACAGTGGATCTCTGTACCACCTGGAAGGTGAGTATTAGAAGGGAGAGCACAGAGTAGGTTGAGGAAAGAATTCCAGCCATGAAAATGGGATGAGGGCTCTTTAATGTGAAATTTATGATATCATTAAGAGTTGCTTTGTCTAAGTGGTGGGGATGAATGCATGTACTCTTTCACTATAACTGAGAGAAATGAAGGAGGATTGGGGAAATGATAAAGCCATGGCTTTTGCCCCATGTATAATAATCTTTCTGATTTCTCACAGACACCACAGGAACACTTTTCTTGTGGGCACTATTTTATTTCCCTATTTCTTGCACTACTTTTTCTCTTCTCAACAATCAGTGCTAGCGAGCTCCATCTTCATTTCTTGACAGTATTTCTACTAACCATAGAAACTTGCATTTGTATTGACCTGGATCCAACTAAATACCCTTGACAAGCTTTTTCCTCCCCAGGCCATGGAGAAGTGTAAGGATGCAGGATTTGCCAAGTCCATTGGGGTGTCCAACTTTAACAGCAGGCAGCTGGAGATGATCCTGAACAAGCCAGGGCTCAAGTACAAGCCTGTCTGCAACCAGGTGAGCACCCTCAGCATTCTTTCCTTCTTTCCTTCCTTCCTTCCTGCCAGTGGTCTGTATGTCCTTGTTAATCTCATATTTTGTGAAGTAAATGCTAACAGCAGAAAGTGTCTCAAAGGCTCGAGGGACACTTAATTGAATCTTGGCTTGGTTAAGCAAAAACATTTTCAGAGACCAAAGTCCTTAGTTGTCTGCAGGAACATGGGAATATAAAAGCTACTGAGGGGATCTGCAATCAGTAATCACTTCTCAAAATGAATAATGCACTAATTCCTGAGTTATGAGGGATGGCCAGAGACTGACTGCTCTGATTCAGAAGGCTCTGAAAACATGGAATGAGCAGGAAAGGAGGACAGAATGAAATTAAGACAAGACCAGTGATAAGGGTGTGTCTGGTTCAGATACCTGTGTCCTTCATCTTTCTGTGTATACTTACAGAGACTGAATGAGAGACATAGCGACAGCAAAAGCTATCCAGAGACTGTCTTCCGTGTTAGAAACAGAAAGATACATGTCAATGGTGATGCTAATGGTAGATGAAATCCACATTTGAGAACTTGTAGTAAAACAAATTTCCAATAATGAAGTGATCATAGTGTATACCTAAAATGTACCCATGAAGTTAGTTTAAAACAACCCATACAGCTGACATAGTACTTAATCACTTAGTTGCTTTCTCCACCCTGTCTTCTACCCTCAATTCAACTGTTTAATCATATTTATTCTGTACATAGTTCTACATTCTCAGTTTCTTCTTCACAAGTTACAGTGAAGGAATAAGTGTCTTCTATTGGAAAATACATAATTATATATTTGGAATAAAATAAAATGCTACCATAATAGTCACATGTCCATTTTGAATACTGAGATTTAGTATTCATTTGCTCTATGTATTAGGATTATCCTTCTTAGTGCTCTCATTGCTGGGACAAAGTACCTAACACCCACAATTTAAACAGGTGAGGTTTATGTGTTTCACAGTTTCAGAGGATTCAGTCCATGGTTGACTGCTTTAAGTCAGAAGAATCATGGCAGAGGCATATGGTTGAAGAAAGCTGCTCAAAATGGAGAACAGGTGAAAAGTGCCAGCAATCGATACACCCTAAATAAGCATGCCACCAGGGATCCATTTTTCCAACTGGGATGCATTACATTATGTTACGAAAATCAGTGACCTCGTGTCCTGATGAATATAGCACTGCCATGATCAATCACCTGTCTAGGAATCTATTAATCTGGTCAAGTGAAGTCCAAGTAGAAAATTAAGATTAACTGGAACAGGATTGGTTATACTCATTTCCTTGTGCTGAAATTTACCAAAATGTGGAGAGCAAAAGGTTGAAATAACCTTCAGAGACCTCTGAGTCTCTTGAGAACATAATGAATCCTGGATATGCAGCTGGCACAAAAACAAGGATGGTTACTTGTAACGAGAGTGGTTAAATAGAAAGAGTTCGAATGTCTGTAATGCAAGGGAATGTTATTCCCGGAGTTGTAAAGATACATTTGACCTTTTCCCTGAAAAATAATTAGTCGCCTAATTATGTACAGAGGAGGGGTTGGGGGTTGTGGAAAAGGTATATAAAGGGCAATAAAGTGGGAAGAGGGGTCTCTCCTCTGCCTCTCCTTTTTGTTTTCCTCAGAGGTTTTGTTTTTCTTTCATCCTCTCCCCTCCTCTCAGGTACTGTTCGACTATTGAGGGCTGGCACCGTCACACCAAAATATCAGATTTCTGACAAAATGGTTCTTTTATCCTTAGGTATTGCCTCATAAGTCTTTGACCAAATTATTTATTAGTCACTTTAATACTAAACTCTCACTAAGTATATTCCCTGTCCTACTCCTGAAATGTATCATCTTCTCATACTGGAAAATATATCTAGCACACAACCTCTTACCACAGGGGTATTTTATCTCATACTTGTTATTTATTTTACCTTCTAAACGACAGAGACATTGAACTTATTTTTAAACAGATAACTATTAATTGTTGTTGCACTTTTCAATTCAAATGTCATATTACACATTTGTAAAATTGAGCCTCTTTTACTGTCAATATTTCTTTTTTATATTAATATAAGCATTTCATATAATGACTTTCTATCTCTCCATATACAGGTAGAATGGCATCCTTATCTGAATCAGAGCAAATTGCTAGATTTCTGCAAGTCAAAGGAGATTGTCCTCATTGCCTATGGTTGTTTGGGAAGCCAACCATATAAAAACTGGTAATAAGCACAATTGGAATCTCATTGAAGACACAGTTATTCATGAAATATATTTTTTCATCAAATTTGTTGGTACACTTTAGGTGTACGATATGCTGACATGCATTATTGGAAATTTGTATCTTTACATGATCTCTCTTGGTTCTTATTTTTTCCCCGTAGCCCTGCCCTCCTTTCAAAACCCTTGACCCTTCCCTATTTACAAAGACTTCTTTTCCATTTTCATCCTTTTCTCATAATTGTACCTTTCCCCAACCCTCCCACGTCCCCTTCCCCTTTGAACCTTTTATTCCTACTTTACACTATCATACATTTTGATCCTTATTTTCACTTTCAGTTTCACACACCAGAGAAACTATTCAGTGTGTACACTTGTGTGCTATTTATTTCACTTAGGATTATGGCTTCGAGGTGCACCCATTTAGGTATAAATATCTCTGGTTTCTCATTGTTTATGGCTCAGTAGTACTCTTGAAATATTTTAGTCCTTTCATACTCAGTGTTCTGGATTTTGCTCTCAGATGGTTCAGAGATGAGGTAGAACTTGCATTTCTGAGAAGATCCCAAATGATACTGGTACTGCTGGCCCAAGGACCCATTTGAGAATTCCTCGTGTAGAGTGGGGACTTTTCTGCTGGGAGCACGATAACAAAGAAAATACAAAGCCTCAGGATTTGACATTTCTGCCTTTCCATCCAGGACTGACGAGAGTTGCCCCGTTCTCTTGGATGAGCCAATTCTTCGTACCATGGCAGAGAAGTACAAGTGAAAGCCAGGTCTGATTTCCCTTTGATGCTTGCTGCAGCATGGGGTTGTTGTCCTGGTCAAGAGTTTCAATGAGAAGCACATCAAAGAAAATGTGCAGGTAATGAGGGGCCTGTCAGTACACAGCGTTCTTCGTACATGTACTTCTTTGTAAGCTCCCAAGGCATCTTTATGCCAAATCACTTTACCCGACATTGCCTACATGTGTGTGCATGTATGCATTCCTAAAGGTTTTCTCCACGCAGTAATAGCTGTATGACTGAACAGAATTAAAAGTGCACAACAAAAAGAGTTGCATTAGTTCACTTTGTACCTAGAAATCACGATGGCTTTAATTTTCATTTTCTGGAACACTCATATATCGTAATAGTCATAATTTTTCTCCCTTTGAGTTTATCTTTCATCAAAATCCTTTCAAATCTTGCCCATTTACATAGATTGACTTTTTATTTACAAGATGAAACAGGTTAAAGTATTATGTTTGCCCATCACTAACTTTAGAAATGGTAAAATGGTGTAAAGGTATAATACAAGCAACATTTCATTACATCATGATTTTGTGGTTTGAATATTTGTCTTGTCTTGCCTGAACTCAGTCAACTTATTTTGCTCCTGGCTGCGCTCCACTGTGGTTCTCATCAACTCTCTCATGCATTTGCTGAGTGCTGAGGCCCTCTTGGCACAGAACACTTCTCGGGTGGTCCTCAGGGGTACCTCAGCTCTCCTTTATGTAGTTCCTCATCCTCCTCCCAACTAGCCCAGGCTTCACTTCTTCACACTGCATCACCCTAAGGTAGTGGCTGGATAACAGGGACATCTTTTCATTCAGGTCTAGGCTCAGACAGACAAGGGGATGCATTGTTTCTGGCAAATTCTATTGGTCAGTGCACACTATAGCCCAAGAAAGATTCAAGACAGGAGAAAATGGCTCCTTCTACCCCTAATAAAAGAAACCATGGATTCACAAAACAAAGTGGAGTCTGGGAGGTGTGAAGTTCTGAGGGACATGCCATTCCTATTCAATCTCCAACATTGCTGTGCTCTGGGATGTTAACTGGCTCCAGATTCAGACATATAGTAAAATGTCTTCTCCAAAACTTGGATTTCTTGTCTTGTCTTGAATGGTTATGAACAGAAATTCCTTCTCTCAGTGTAATCAACTTCTCCCTGGCTTCCTTGATTGGTTGATTAGTATCATGGTGTTTCCTACCCAATATTCTTCCACATTATCTCGAAGTGTTATAGCCTTTTCTGCCATTTTGGTATTAAGTTAAAATAAAATTGCTCTTAATATTATATAAGTCTGGATTTAAATATATGTATATAATTTTTGAATGAATAAAATTTTTGAACATCAGCAAGTACATTCATTTATGTTCTTTTTCCTATCAATTAACTTTCTTTTCTCTACTGTTTTATGTTGGGTCTTGCTGTCTGGTTGATACCTCTTCTAACTCCCTCTCTTTGTAAAGAATATCTTGGCTATTCATGACTGATTCTTCTGTTACATAAAATTTGGTAATCACTTTGCCAACACCCACTTGGAATAAGTGTTTAAGAATTTGCTTGATATTGTTTTGAAACTGTTCATCATTTTAGATATAGCTGGTTTTTTGACAACCTTGATACTTCTAAATCCATGCTCATGATATGAAATACTTGGATAGTAAGATTTACATATTTTGATAATTTTTATAACTTTCTCAATTAATAAATTTTTATATATTCTGTTACACTTCTTATTAAACTGCTAATGTTCTCTTTTGTTTGAGAATTATCAAAGGTACAGAACTGTCAAAAGGATTACACAATGAACATCTCTCACCTCGATTTATCAGTTCTTAAATTTTTCTCATTTCTTTTCTTTCTCCCTCTTTCCCTAAATCACTATTTTAGAATACTATTAAGCCTTTATGGATCTACTTTTATGTTACATTTTGCATGTTAACAGTTGGTAATCAAGTTTTTTTATTATTTGTCTAGCCAAAATGTACTCAGTGAGGTGCACATCAAGCAGCTCAGGGATTCTTTTATCAGGAGATCATTTGCACTTGTACAAGTCCTGCTTGATATAAGTTGAAAATGCTATTTTTCACATTGAAACTTTTCATGGATGGGCTAAGAAATGCAGCTCTGTCTATGAAAACTACTGAATTACATTGTATGTTTCCAAAATTGGTCTTTATGTTTTTCTGGATTATTCAAGTACGTGAGGCTCTCCTCTGTGAATAATTTAAATACTGTTTCTTCTTCAACTGTTTTTGAAATAACCTGTTTCCAGGAGTGTCATGCAATCTCAATGTGATATACCTTATACATTATATTGAAATGATTCTTATTATTCAAATGGCATTCATTATTCAACATAGTTAAGTATGCTGCTTGCCATCTTTTATAAAACTTTTAGAAACTTGTCATGTATCTGCACTATTCACTCTGATTCACTTGCAATTTCCAGATTGGCAAACAAAGAGACCAAATACATTAATTACATTTGTCTACTTTTCTATTTTTTATACATTCCTTCTTGTGTGACAGGTTTTTGACTTCCAGTTGACTTCAGAGGACATGACAATCTTAGATGGCCTGAACAGAAATATTCGATACAGTGTTGCTTCTCTGTAAGTAACTTTGATAGATGTGTTGCCTCAATTGATTTTCTGAGGAGGAATATAACGTGAGTGTTGAAATTTATAACAAAACTAGAAGACAGTATTGTTGAGTGCTGGGTAGTTTGAATCAGAGATGGGACGGGAGCTTTCGGGAGCTCTTCCCAGTTTCTCTCTGAGCCTCTTGTCTGAATAAGCAAGGTGAGAGAAACCAGGGTCAGCTTGATCCGATACATCTGCACTTCTGTGCTTCTTCCATGGAATGTTCTAGGTCCACTGATATCATGGCTGAGTCTACATTTTCCATGTAACACTCAGAGTTTAATATGTATCCTATGGATTTACACTCTGGGCATTTCAATGTATCATATTCAAAATTTTCAAATGTAATTTTACATCATCTCTCTAAAATCTACTCAGTTCCCTATTAGATAAAATATCCAGTGGTTCAAGTCAGAAAATTTCATCTTCTGCATAGGAATATGGTCCATTTGACATCTTTGATAGTTTCAGATTGCTCATGTCCTATTTGTTGATGTTTTTCAGGGTTAAATATTGCATTTCTTTTAAGAATGGGTGCTGTGATGCAGTCAACTGAGTGCTTGGTGTTAATATTTTTGAAATATAGAGATCCCAATGTGTAGTATGAAGTTATAGAACAGACAGTTGAAAATCAAGGGGATGGTGTGCAGGAAATGATCCACTGTTTGTAAGAGTTTATGGGAAACAAAAGATGTTTTCCTTCATGCTATGTTTATGTTTATAGCATTTTAAAGTGAGCATATATTTTAAAAAGGGTAAGCAAGCAATGTAATGTTCTCATGATGGAAAATGTAATTCATTATCATAATAACTATGATAATATATAAACAGTGATTAGAATAATGTAAAATTATATGTAATCCAAAACTGCTGGATATATTGTTGTCATATGTCATATTTTCAGTAGTGTAGAGAAAAATAAAGAATAAAAGATATTAAAAAATAAGTGAGGTAGTACAAAAAGACAAAAACTGCGGCAAGCGATCAGTAATTCTTAGTCCCATTAAAATTTTTCATAAGCAATCATTTCATAACTTCATATTTTTGATGTTATTCTTAGAGCTTGTACAGTGGGATTCTTGTACATTAGATTTTTTTCTTCTATGAGACAGTCTTTCTATTTCTGAAACTACCAGACCATATCCTATGTGGTGGGTATTTAGTAAATAATGAATCAAGAAAATAAAAAATGAATTTGCCACAAAGAACTTGCAACTTTCAAACAAACTTACTAGTGATGAGCACATAGACTGATTTTTCCCTGTACAACACAAAGGAGAATCAGTTTCTGCTTTCATTGAGAATTTGTGATAAAAAAATAATTGCTATCTCTTTGGTTTTCTGATAAATGTTTACAATTTGTTTACAAATGTTTGTGAATTTGACTGGATTTTCTGTGTCAACTCACAGGGAAAGGAACATAAATTGGATAATTTACTTTTGGGATTTAAAAAAAATTATGAAACCATGTTTATGATTTTGCCACTTGTCAAAAATAAAATTTTAAAAGTTCCATCCTAATGACATCTGAATAAAAGCCACTTCTGGATTCAGAGTCATCAAAAGCCTTACGTATCTTTCTTATTTCAGGTTGATTGACCACCCTAATTATCCATTTAATGATGAGTATTAACATGGAAACTTTTGTCACGACCCCTAACACAAGCCTCTGTGGGGATAAGAATGCAGAACACTTCTAAAGTGCTAATGGTAGGACACATTGCTTTTAATTTATGTTGCTTAGCAACTCACACTGTAGCTAACTTAGGAAGCAAAAGAATGGAATCTTTGTCCCTTTCTGAAAAAAATAAAGAATTACTTTTCCTCAATATTTGTTTACTCCTTTCTGTAAAACTTAAATGTTTTACTTCCCTCTGACACATTAGCATCAAAAACCAACTTGGTTACAAATCTGTGGCCAGATGGTGAGAAATGGTACTAGGCATTTAAGAAACACTTCTGGGGTAGGAGTGGTAGAGTTCTGTTTTAGAGAAGTAGTAGATAGCAAGTATTTGTCAATATTCCTCTCTTACTTTGAGGAACAAGAAAACCCACTGAATACATTGTGGAAGAAGAGGAACATATGGGCACGTGTCCAGCAGCTCAAGGACCAGCATTTCAGGAAACTGAAGAATGATGTCTCCAGGTGGGATGGTTGGCAGGGAGGTGAGAGGGAATCCAGCCAGAAAGGACAATGAGGAAATAGATATAGGGGACAATGAGGAGGGACAGGAGCATGGTCAGCTTGAGAAATAGTGATCAATATTTTAATGAGGTAATTCTGCCAATAAAAGAAAACTTTCCACGTGACTTGTTATGGTTTGGATCAAGAATGTCCTGCAAAGCTCTCATGCTCTCAAAGGCAGGGTTTTGGAAGGCAGTTGAACCACAAGAGCAATAAAGCTGACCTGCTGTTAGGAGGTGGATGCTGGTCAGAAGAGATGGGCCACTCCTTCCCTAGCTTTCTTCCTAGCTCTTTGCTTCTCTCTGTACTTCCAGGCTGATGTGCAACTTTTCCTTTGAGCCACTTGACCACATACTGCACACATGAGTCAAAATATACCTCTCCTTTAAGTTGTGGGTGTCAGGCATTGCACCTCAGTAACAAGAAAGTAACTAGATACATGCCACCAAGAATTGTTTCAGGTCCTGGTCTGGATGACTAGTGTGTTTCCAGCAACAGCAGTGACCTTGCTGGGTACTGCAATTCTTTACTATGCTTTCAATTTTATCTGTGTTAGTTTTTTTTTTTTTGGTACCGGGGATCGAACTCGGGTCCTTGAGCTTGTGCAGCAGGTGGCGAAACCACTGAGCTAAATCCCCGGCCCTGTGTTAGCTTTTGTAATGTCTTAAAAGACATGCTTTTTCTTAGTTCAATGAAACTCATTCTTAAGAATGTATCCTCTTTTGAGTGGTGCCCCAGGCCCACCTTTGAAAGCTGAACCATGCCACAGCAGGGGTGCCCCCTCCCCAGGGGAGCACAGCATGGGGCAGCAGAGGAAAGACTAACAAACTGACTTGATCTGGCACAAGGACAACATCTGGGGAGAGAATGAGCCACCACACACCTGGACAGTCCACACTGGGTAACAAGCCACTTGAACTCCTGCCTTGTGGCCGACACACAGCAGAGAGCAGAGTGTGCACCACTACCCCAGCTGCCAGTGGAAGCAAGGACCTGCCTTGCCCTGGACACTAACCACAGACAGGGTCAAACAGACAGAGGGGACTGTGCTACAGGGAGAGCACCTCAAAATTCTACAGGCCTAAACCTGGGCAGAGAGAGTAGTAGCTGCCTGGATCTCAGGATTGTGGATCACGGAAAGAAATCACTCATTCAGTAACAAACATTTTGCTTAGAATCAATTTAAAAATTTTTTATTTTACATTATTTTTATGTTTCCTTCACTGGGTTGACAGTTTGGTTCTTTTGTCCCCATTTTCTCAGTTGTTATAGTTTCTTTTTTTCTCCTTTCATCTTTTTCTTTCCAACTTTTTTCTTATCTCTTTTTTATCTCCTTTTTTTTCTGCCGATTGTTTTCTTGTTTCTCTTGTCCACTCTCTGTTCAGAAAATGTTCTCTATAACTATTGATTTCTTTTTGCATCTCAGTAGGTCCTCTGCCTTAATTTTTTCTACTTGTTCTCATAGCCTTTCAATTAATTTTTCTTTTTATTTTCTTAAGTTCTTTTATTGGTACATTTTAGGTATACAATACATTTACATTTATCACTGGGTGCTTGTACCTGATCATGAAGTAACTTGGTTCTTATTTTTTCCCCATTTCCTGTACGCCCTTCACCCCCTCCACCCTTCCCTATTTACATAGATTTCGTTTCCATTTTTTTTCTCTTCTCATAATCTTTCCTTTCCCTTCTTTCCTTTCCCCTTCCCCTCCCTTCACCTCTACCTCTTTGGAGCATTTTTCCTATTTCAAATTATCAATTATTCATTTTAATCATTTTAACCCTTATTTACACTTTCATTTTCTCACACAAGAGAAACTATTCGGTATTTACATGTGTGACCTATTTATTTCACTTAAACATATGGCCTCAATATGCATCCATTTAGCTACAAATGACTCTAGTTTCTTATTCTTTATGGCTGAGTAGTACTCCATTTTATAAAAAAACCACATCTTCCTTACCCGGTTTCCAGTTGATGGTCCCTTGGGCTGCTTCCAAGCCTTAGCTATTACAAACTATACACATGGGTGAACATATATCACTGTGGTATGATTCTTTTAATTCTTTGGGGAAGATTCCCAGTAGGGGAATACCTGGGTCAAATGAGACCTCTAGCCCTAGTTCTTTGAGGT